AGCCGTCCCTCTGGTGGTGGACGAGGTGCAGGTGGTGGAGATTGCTTTAAATGTGGCAAGCCTGGACATTTTGCAAGGGAGTGTCCTTCTGAAACTGGTAGAGATGGTGGAGGAAGGTATAGCTCAAAGGATGATAGGTACAATGGGAAGGACGATAGGTACAGCGGAAAGGATGACAGGTACGCTGCAAAGGACGACAGGTACAGTGCTAAGGATGATAGGTACAGCTCAAAGGATGATAGATACGGTGCAAAGGACGATAGGTATGGTGGTAGGGATGGCGGAGGTAGTCGCTATGGACCTGATCGCGGTGGAGAACGTGCTGGAGGACGTAGCCGTGATGGTGGCAGCCGTGGAGGTCCAGGAGGAGAGAGGCACAGTCGTGCTCCATACGACCGCCCCAGAGCTGGTGGCTACTAGAATTCTACTCCAAAGGGTATGTATGCTTTGAGTTACTGAACATTTTCTATCATATCTCTCAAAGTTAAATGCTCTGGTAATGCTACAGGCTTAAGTTGAAGACTCTTCACATCTTCTTTTGCAGTTGAAGAAGAGGAAGGTTTCTGCTTTCGGGTGCCTTGTCAAGTGCGAAGTCAAAGTTACTACTCTAGATGGTCTGTTTTGGTCAATGTATTTGGATAGCTCAAGAAAGAAGATGTGTCTCTCTCTCTCTCTGTTTTGGCCCTAAACTCAAGAGTCGACTATGTTCCTAAAGTGCTCTCCTTTTGATATGTTGATCCCTATGGAAACCTTGTGCTATGGTTGCTTTGAGACACAATGTGCTACTTTATGCTTATCGTAATGAATGCGTGGGTTATCCCCCAACACCAAATTTGCAAAAAAGCCTCAGGTACGTGATTGATCTCTACGGAATATCCAGGGTCAACATTTGGTAACATTCAAATGTTGTGTTATAGTAGGGGATTATACTGTTTATTGATTCTGGTATCAATGATGCAGGATCATCTGATACTCGGTTTTAGCCGTGAAAATAACGACCGGGTCTATAAAACTTTTGATGGGATTGGGAAAATATACATTGCTGATACTTGGCTACTGGAAACTCAAACACCCTTCACGAAAAAAAGATTGATTCTTGTGCCATTCTAGTGTCATTGTTCAAGTCAAAATCCAATAGTTCCTTCGACCAAAGATAATTCCAATAGTCACCATGATCGTTGCTCTCTTTTGGTCTATTCTTTGTGGGTTCTCTTCTTGCCTCGGCGTCTGCCCCGTCTCTTGCTCGTGACACATCTTCGATTTGGCACATAATTTTTTTGTCTATATAGTCAATAGATTCTCTAATTCCACTTTAAAAATTTGTATGCATACATCATTAGTTTAGATGCTTTTGTGATTCAACCATATTTACATAATTAAAGACTAAATAGGGCACATTAGTAGTGAAACATTCGACTTTATTATTTTATAGCAAAACAACAGTACATTGTCTTCTTCTTTTGGTCTGTATCAACGAAACTAACACAACGGAAGAAGAAGGAAGAAAAGAGAAATGCAAACTCGTATCCTCTTGGTAAAGTTTGTCTTATTAGCATCGTGTCTCATACATTCTCGAGTTTGCTCTCCGTCTTGTAACTTCCCGGCGATTTTCAACTTCGGCGATTCTAATTCCGACACCGGTGGCCTCTCCGCCGCATTCGGACAAGCCCCTTACCCTAACGGTCAAACCTTTTTCCACTCCCCTTCTGGTCGTTTCTCAGATGGTCGACTAATCGTTGACTTCATAGGTTCTTGCTTACACACATTCTAAAGTTCGTCAATTTTTGGATGATAAATTTACTGAGTTTCGTAACGACCCATTTGATTAACTTTTCTCCATTTTGTTGAAATCAGCGGAAGAATTAGGGTTACCATACCTTAATGCTTTCTTAGACTCTATCGGTTCAAACTTCAGCCATGGTGCTGATTTCGCCACCGCTGGTTCCACCGTCCGGCCACCGAACTCCACCATTTCTCAGGGCGGTGCGAGTCCCATCTCCCTCGACGTTCAGTTGGTTCAATTCTCCGATTTCCTCACACGATCACAACTCTTTCGCAGTCGAGGTACTTAAAAGTTTCAACCTTTTGATCCCAAATCATTGTAAAAACTTTGTTAGTTTGTACTTTGTACTTAGACCCGAGCCATAAACAAGTTTTAAATCATCAAGACAATGTAATCATGGGAAAGTTTTGTGACCTGATTTCTCGTATTTTGGGTTGAAAATAGGTCGAGTGTTTGAGCATTTACTTCCAAGAAAAGAGTATTTCTCTCAAGCATTGTACACATTCGACATCGGTCAAAACGATCTTACCGCTGGATTAAAACTCAACATGACAGCAGATCAAATCAAGGCTTACATTCCAGATGTTCTCAATCAATTCTCCAATACAATTCGTGTAAGCAAAAGTTAAAAGTCTCTGTTCACCAATTAGATAACTGAATTAACCGCCTTTTTAATTGTCTGTAGACTGTGTATAAGAAAGGAGGAAGAAGATTTTGGATACATAACACAGGTCCACTAGGTTGTTTACCTTATGTTTTAGACCGGTGGCCAGTACCGGACTCTCAAATCGACGGTCACGGTTGTGCAATTCCGCGTAATGAGATTGCTCGGTATTTCAACGCCGAACTCAAGAAAAGAGTGATTGGGTTAAGAAAAGAGCTCGTTAAAGCTGCAATCACTTATGTTGATATCTACACTATTAAGCTTACTCTCATTACTCAAGCCAAGAAACTAGGTACTTTCAAAACTGTTTTTTCATACCAAACAATGGGAGGGTTCAAGGTCGGTTTAAGACCGGTTTTGATGGTTTATTTTATATGTTGGATTTTAGGTTTTAAATATCCTTTGGTTGCTTGTTGTGGACATGGTGGGAAGTATAATTTCAACAAGCTTATCAAATGTGGAGCTAAAGTTATGGTGAAAGGTAAAGAGACTGTGCTTGCTAAGTCTTGTAACGACGTGTCGTTTCGAGTTAGCTGGGACGGTGTGCATTTCACTGAAACGGCAAACCGTTGGATCTTTCAGCAAATAAACGGCGGGGAGTTTTCGGATCCTCGTCTTCCTCTTCAGTTTGCGTGTACCAAATAGATATAAATCATATGACCAAAGTGCCCTTTCAATATTGGGACTAAATGATTTGGAATGTTTACATGATTTATTGGTTTTCTTAACTTCTTTGTTCTTTTTTGTCAATGTCTACGAAATTAGCTCATGAAAATGAAGTGGCAACTACTTGACATATTTTATTTGAATATTCTAATATGTATTTTATCATACCAATGAAGTAGAAGTTTTTGGTAGTATTTGTAGATTGTAATAGATACCAATTTAGATTTGATATCACAATTTCATATGGTTAAGAGTTTGAACATTATTTTTGTTTGTTGCCAATTGGGCAGATGGATAGAACAAACATATAGAATCGACAAAAAAAAACAATTTTTTTTGAAATTCGACAGTTTAAATAAGTGGTTAAACATATATTAGAAGTCGAAATCATAAACCACCAATCTGATTGATGACCAAGTTTTAAACATCATGGTTTACCCGATTGATAAAATGTTTAATTGATCCATAATTATGTGTTATCTTTCATTTGGTCGAGCAGTTCATTATCTTTTTTATCTTTGTTTTTTCGCCGTTACAGTCCCCAACAATCTATTAACCATCTAGCTAAAAACACTAGTTACAAGTTACCTTTTATTGTATCAACTACAAAATGCTTTCTTCCTCTCCACTTCACCTAAGACCCCCTCTATATTCAGAAAGGGCAATTATGTCACTTAGGAAATTAATATTCATTTATATTCCACTTAAACCACATGACTCATGAATCACATCCATCCACTCACAAACCACCACGTGTATAAATTAAGCGCGTGACTACACCGTCGTTCCAGTCTGGCTGCTTTCTGAGAGTCACCCTCCTTCCACGAGCCTCTTAAAAAGTCAACTCTTCCCTCTCCCCCCACACAATAATCCCATGTACCGCGTCACACCTGATTAGACCCACCTTCTCTTTTACACAACTACGTTTCCATTTTCTGATTATTTATTTTATTTTATTATTTTTCTCTCATTTTATGAAACCCGCGAAGAACTTCTGAGGCTCAAGACAAAAGTTTTCATCAAATTTTTCGAAGAAGACGAAGACTTTTTTTTTCTAAACATTCTTTCCTGGTAAAATCTATTGCTTTTAATTATATTTTAAAAG